CACAGGAACCCTGAGAGCTGCCCACTCTAACTCAGGTGGAACTGACAACTTGGCTCATTCTAACTCCCTCCTGGGTGTTTTAAATTTTTATTTATTTATTTATTTTTGAGACAGAGTCTCACTCTTTGCCCAGGCTGGAGTGCAGTGGTGAGATCTCGGCTCACTGCAACCTCAACCTCCCAAGGCTCAAACGATCCTCTCACCTCAGCCTCCTGAGTAGGTGGCATCACAGGTACGTGCCACCACACCTGGCTAATTGTTTTATTTGTTGTAGAGATGGGGTTTCACCGTGTTGCTCAGGCTGGTCTCGAAGTCCTGGGCTCAAGTAACCCTCCCGCCTTGGCCTCCCAAACTGTTGGGATTACAGACATCAACCTCCACACCTGGCCTGTAACTTTTAATATAAAGAGTAGCAGTGGCTGTTGTGTATTGGTACATGTTATGTGCCCATCCAGTCCTTATGTCCAAAACTCGTATTTGAAAAACATTCAAAATTCATGTCCAAGGTCACATCTAGCAGTCTGGCTCTGAAGCTACAGTGCCTTGGAGCCCTGCTGGTGCCTGGCATGTCGTAGGCACTGAACATTGTTGATGATGAATAAAGTGATTCTGCTTTGAGGGGCCCTTGCCAATATCAGGACATGTTGTTTGGGGGAGCATGGGGCTGTGGTTTCTTTTGCCTTTACCCTTATGGTCTTAGGCCCCATGAGGCAGGGGAACTCAGATTTTTCCCCTCATTTTTTCTCCTCCTTTACCTTCTCCCTTCTTTTCCATCCTGTTCATCATCTATCTATCCATCCATCTAAATACCTGCATTCACCTATATACCAATCCATTGAGTTTTCTTTTCCTCTCCTCCCTCCTTCACACACACATGCACACACACACACACACGCGCACACACACACACACACTCTGTGAGCTCTAGGGTTGTAGAGATGAGCAAATCAGACAAGCATGGAGGGATGGTTGCAAACCCTGCTTCTTGCAGTGACCCCAGCTTCAGGGCAGGCAATCCCTTGTAGTTCTTCCCTGAGCACCCCCTAATTTTCTTCCTTACTCCCAGTCCTGGGGCCCTCACCTGCCAGCTGCTGGGGTGTCTCACCTGTCAAGCTGCCCCAGGAGATAGAAAGAGGTTGGAAAGGTCTTTGCACCTGTTGCATAGAAATGCCAGGGCCAGCCAGGCCTTACCCCAAACCCAGCCCCCAAGGCCTGGCCCCTGGTCCCTGCCTTCACCTCTCAGACCCAGCATCTGGACCTGACTCTGCTGGATGGGCAGCCACAAGGCCCTGGATTTCTGTTGCCCTCCTCATGGTGTGTTCAGCCTTTGTGGCCATGGCTAGTGCTAGCTCCGTCTGGGTCAGCCGGGCAGTGTGCAGCTGTAGCCTCCCTTTCTGCATCTTGCCTGCCTGCTCCTCTGCTGGATCTCATATGAGCAGCCTTTGAGGCTGCTGTGGAGGCCTTAGAGGCAGGAAGGAGAGAGGCAGAGGGGTCCAGCCCACTCAGGTACTCAGACTCCTGAGTAGGTACTCAGACCTGGGACCAGGCCTGTGGGTATACGGTTCTACCTCCTCCCAGGATCTTCCACATGAAACTGTACCACAGCCCTCTATGCAGGGGATTCTGGGGAAAGGGCTAGGGCAGTGATTCCCCCCACCCCGGGTGAGGGAAAAGGACCCTCCTCCAGACCTGGTCACCTGTTTGTTCTCAGTGATGACTCGATCTCTTGGTCTTCTGCCCTCTGCAAATTACTCCTAAAACTCAACAGTGAGGCCAGGCATGGTGCTCAGGACTGTAATCCCGGCACTTTGGATGGCCGAGGAGGGAGGATTGCTTGAGCCTAGAAGTTCAAGGCTGCAGTGAGCCGTGATGGCACCATTGTACTCCAGCCTGGGTGATGGAGAGAGAACTTGTCTCAAAAACCAAAAAAACAAAACCCCTCAACAGTAAGAAAATGAACAGCCCGATTTAAAAAAAAAAAAAGGGCAAAAGCCAAGTGTGGTGGCTTACATCTTGAATCCCAGCACTTTGGGAAGCTGAGGTGGGAGGATCACTTGAGGCCAGGAGTTTGAGATCAGCCTGGGCAACACGGCAAGATCCCATCTCTACAAAAAATAAAAAGCTTAGCCAGGCATGGTGGTGCACACCTTTAATCCCAGCTTTTTGGGAACCTGAGATGGGAGGATCACTTGAGCCCAGGAGTTCAAGGCTGCAATTAGCCATGATCGAGCCACTGCACTCTGCCTGGGTGACAGAATGAGGCCTTGTCAAAAAAAAAAAAAAAAAAAAAAATCTAAACAGGCACCTCGCCAAAGAATACATACAAATGAAAGTAAGCATATGAAAAAATGTTTAACATCATATGTTATCAGCAAATTGCAAATTAAAACAATGAGATACTATTATGTACCTATTCAGATACCAAAATCCAAAACACTACCACCACCAAATGCTGGTGAGGATGTGGAACAATAGGAACTGATTAATTGCTGGTGGGAATGCAAAATGGTGCAGCCAATCTGGAAGACAAGTTTGGCAGTTTCTTACAAAATGAAACACACCCTTATCACATGATCCAGCAATTGTGCTCCTTGGTATTTATCCAAATGTTTTGAAAACTCATATCCACACAAAAACCTGCACATGGATGTTTATGGCAGCTGTATTCATAATTGCCAAAACCTGGCAACAACCCAGATGTCCTTCAGTAGGTGAATGGATAAATAAACAGTCATATACCCAGACAATGGAATAGTATTCACCACTAAAAATAAATGAGCTATCAAGCCAGGAAAAGACATGGAGGAACCTTAAATGTGTATTACCAGGTGAAAGAAGCCAACCCAAACAAACTGCATACCGTTTGATTCCAAATCATTCTGGAAAAGGCAAAACTGTGGCAATAGTAAAAGGACCAGTTGTTGACAGGAGTTGAAGGGGCCAGGTAGAGCACAGAACTTTTAGGGCAATGAAACGACTCTGTATCACACTATAATCAAAACCCATAGAACGGGCCAGGCGCGGTGGCTCACATCTGTAATCCCAGCACTTTGGGAGGCTGAGGTGGGTGGATCACCTAGAGTCAGGAGTTCAAGACCAGCCTGGCCAACATGGTGAAACCCTGTCTCTACAAAAATACAAAAATTAGATGGGCATGGTGGCGGGTGCCTGTAGTCCCAGCTACTTGGGAGGCTGAGGCAGGAGAATCGCTTAAACCCAGGAGGTGAACAGAGGTTGCAGTGAGCTGAGATCACACCATTGCACTCCAGCCTGGGTGACAGGGCACGACTCCGTCTCAAAAACAACAAACCCCCATAGAATGTAGAACACCAATAGTGAACCCCAATGTGAACTGTGGACTTTTGGTGATGATGATGAGTCAGTGTAGGTTTATCAGTTGTAACAAATGTACCACTGCAGGATGTCCAGAACCAGGGAGGTTGTATGTGGGTGGGGACAGGGGTACATGGGAACTCTCTGTACTTTCCACTCAGTTTTGCTGCAAACCTAAAACTGCTCTAAAAAATAAAGTCTATTAATTTAAAAAAACCTATGGAAAGATTAGTCCTGAGAGCCCAGTGATTCTGGCTCAGTCCCCCACCGCCCCCAAGACACCCACCTCTGCAGCTACTCCTTGTCCCTCCTTCCAGTCTCCCGCCCGCTTCTCCTCCTGGCCCTGACCCATTCTGAACTGCTCACCCCTTCCTAATCACACCCTCCAGGCCCCTTGGACCCTCCAAAAGCTGGGCAGGCTCCTGAAGATCCACAAGGCTCGGCTTTCACTTAGCAGGGAACCTGAGGCCGGGCCATGGCGTAGCCTCCCATTCTCCTTCCCCCAGGCTTCCCTGTCCACATCCCTGTCCATCCATGCACTCCGAATCCCCTTCCTTCCTTTGCTGCCATCTCTACTCTGCCAGAAGTCAGTCTATACTGCTTGCCCTCTCGGCCTCCAAGGCCAAACCCTGGGTGGGAGGCATGTGCATTTGTGTGCATTTTTTTTTTTCTTCTTCTTTGAGATAGAGTCTCGCTCTGTTGCGCAGGCTGGAGTGCAGTGGTGCAATCTCAGCTCACTGCAACCTCTGCCTCCCGGACTCGAGAGATCCTCCTGCCTCAGCCTCCCCAGTAGCTGGGACTATAGGCGCATGTCACCACGCCCAGCTAATTTTTGTATTTTTAGTAGAGATGGAGTTTCACCGTGTTAGCCAGACTGGTCTCGCACTCCTGACCTCAAGTGATCTGCTGGCTTCTGCCTCCCAAAGTGCTGGAATTATAGGCATGAGATACCACACCCGGCCTTGTGTGCATATTTGGTACATGTGACTGTCAGGCACATGTGTACATGGGCATGGGTGTCGTATGCTGCTTCCTCTGTGTGTGGGTGCTGTATGTGTGATGTGCTGGACAGCTGGTGATGTCTGTGTGCACACGTCTGGGTGATGTATGGCTCTCTCCTGCATTTGAAGGTACTTTCTAGCTCCGGCCTGTTACCCGTGGAGGACCAGTCCTTTGGCCTCATTTTCCTCCCCTTCAAACTCCTGGATACCATCCCTTCCCCATGCCAGGCCTTCCCCATGAAGAGTGCAGGAAGATCCCCCTCAGACCCACTTTCTCACCTGCCCAGTCCATGCCCAGGAGGCCATCTCCTCAGATGATCCCAACACTTCCCTGGCCTCAGGCCAAGAGGAAGCCTCATTTCACAGTCTAAGAAATGGAAGCCTCAGAGGACACCGAGGCCTCCCCAAGACCAGCCACAAGTCTTTCTGCTGGCCTAGAGGGCTGGCCAGGAGGGAGTGAAGGGAACTGACCCTGGGGAGTGGACAGGTGAGAGATGGGTGGCCAGGACAAGGGTGGCTTTGCCCTCTGGGGGCAGGTGGAGCTGGGGCAGCTAAAAAATGGGGTGGCAGACCAGGACACAGCAGCCAGGTGAGCTCCCTGGCCCAGGGGCATTTGCACAAAAGTCTGAGCCGACGGCCAGCACTGGAGGCTTTATTGGTTCTGTCTAGTCATTTCTCTGGGGTTGTGGGGGCTGACAGCTTAAAATGGATTTTCACCAATAATGGATTCTGTTTCTCTTTTCCTGGCGGCACTGAGCTGCAACACAAAAGAGAGAGTGTCACTTGGGCCCCAGAGGGTGGTCGAAGGAGAAGGTTGAGCCCAGAGGCCCCTCTGAAGAGGTCACTGGGGGTAAGGGGTCTTCTGCTGCTGCCTGTGTCTGGGCAGCTAAGGTTACGTTCTGTGTCCATTCACCACCAGAAAGCAAGGTGTACTGGAGTGCCCTGCATCCTCATTCTCCCCTCAAGAAAAGTGTCCTGGACTCCAGGGTTGGGGCCAACCTGTTCTCAACAGGGCAGACCCCAGCCTGAGCATTTCCGACCTCGGTGAGGCCCAACCCCCAGGGTGGGAAGCCACCTAATGCCAGCGTGGTCCTTCCCAGTTTGAACCCAGGCCCCTGTGCCCACCCTCCTTGGTCCCCAGGCTTCCTCCAGCCCTTGCCTTGGCTCTGCACCTCAGTCCACTGGAACCTTGTTCCAACAGCCTTTATGAGGTCACTGAGGTGGAGGCGTCACAGCCCACCGCATCCTGCTCCCAGGTCCTCATTCCAGTGTTCCCCACCCCTAGCCGGCTGTGTGAGGACCCCCCTATGTTCTAGCACAGCCCCTCTATGGGAGCTGTGGGGCTGGCCTCACTCACTCTTCCTTGCCTCCCTGCAGCACAGGGGACGTGGCTGGTGGCTGGAGAAGCTGCATTTGCCCTTCGATGGTGGCCCTCTTGATCCCGGGCTTGCTGAAGTCAAAGTAAGATTGAGTGAAGTTCTTGTCTTCCTGACTCCAAGATTTCAGTGGTGCCCTGGCTTCACGTGGTTTCTCTGGTAGGGCCTCTGCGTGCTTTTCTGGCTTTTGCTCCTCCGCAGTGATCAGGAGGGGCTCTGTGGAAGGCTCCAGAGCCTCCTGAGGTGGAGCTTTCATCATGTGTTCCAAACTGGGCATGTCCGTCCTGCTGGAGGAGGCCATGGCCAGGGAAGATGCAAAGGTGATTAGCTCTGCCAGGCCAATGGGTGGTGGGAGATCTGAGGACAGGAGGGGGCTTGGCTCCTGGAAGCTTGTGGCCGGAGGAGCTGAGCGGGCATCGGGGCTCTGGAGCTGCTCCTTGGAGCACAGGGCGTCAGTGGGGATGGCCTCCCGGAGCCGGGAACTGATGGGCTGGCCTGCGCTGCCATTGTTGAGCTGCATGTTGATGGCCCGCTGCAGGCTGTGCTCTGAGGCCTGGATGAGCTTGTTTGCCCAGAAGAGGTGCTTGGAGGTCTGTGCACTGATGGAGTGACGGCAGGCAGACACGTGGTTCTCCTCCGTGAAACTCCCGTAGTTTGAATTCAGACTCCATGGTCTGAAGGTCTGCGGCGTGGGCGGCGCCATGTTGGAGTGGACGGACTCTATCTGGCACACCAGCTGCAGGGGCTCTTCGAGGTCAGACTCCTCGTTCCAGTTGGCTTTTGTGTCCAGCTCAGTTTCAAGCTTGAGGGCTGGGTACAGCTCTGACTCCAGTAAAGCTGGCACCTGTCCGATCTCCAGTTCTGGGTCTGGGTCTGGAGCCAGGTCCACTTTGAGCTGGGGCTTCTGCTCTAGCATGTCTGCCTCCAGCTGAAATGTTTCAACTCAAAGCTGAGGAGGCAGGAGCGGGAGGTCCTGCCCCTGAGGCCCTCCCTGGCACCGAGTCCCTGCCCCACCCCTGCCCCGAGTCCTGCTCTCTTCCCCCCGCCTCCCAACCCCATGCCTGCCTCCTCTCAGAGACCTGCCTGGTGAGGGGGTGTGTGTGTGAGTATACCCACACTGGCCTGGTACTAGGGTCCCAGGATTGTCAAGGGTAGGGGAGGGGCTGATGGAGACTTAGGGAAGAGCCCTGCCACTTGCCTACCACCTCCCCATAAGAGGACACCCCCTTTTTACCTCCTGTTCCTCTTGTATCTGGTGTTGACTTAAGTCATCTCTAAGACAGAAGGAGACAGAGTGCGTGATGGGGATCTGTGGGGTGGGTGGTGGCTTCAGCGGGAAGGGGGTTTCTGGGGCCCTCAAAGCCGTCTGCCTTGTAACAGAGGCTGGCAAGATGCACCTCCCCCCGACCACCCCGCCACCAGCTGATCCCCTCCCCTGGCTGTCCCACTCCACTGCCACCAGGAAGCCTGGAGTTGTATTCTGAAACTTGAGTGAGTTTAGGAAGCTCCTTGCCAACTCATGCCCCCCCACCCCGCAAAAGAGGAATCCAGTTGGTTGGAGGTAAGGCCCAGGAATCTCATTTTTATCAAGCATTGCAGGTGAGCTGGGACAACTCACTTCGCGAATTAGTGCCCAGAACACTAGTCCCCAGCAGGGGAGCCCCAGAGCAATGTCCTCCCACCCACCTGCCCACTCTTTCTTCAAGTGCCTGCCCACCCCCGCCTTGAGCAGCTCTGTCCTCAGGAAGCCAGGCAGCTCTGAGGGGTCAGGTCCTATTCTGTCCCTGGGTGTGCCTCACCACCCCTCAGTCTTCCTCTGCCAGGGGCTGAGGGCATAAACAGAAGCGGGAGGGTAGATACCCCACGCCCTCCCCAGTCTTTTGGCCTGGACACTGGCGCCGGGGAGGTTTTGAAAATGGCAGAAGGGAGGAAGATCCTAGGTTGGGGGATTGGTGGTGTCAGGGGCGAGGCTGGAGGTCCCGGAGGGCTCGGGGGACGCCTGTGATGATCGGGGATGGTTCTCACCGCATCTCTGCAACCTCCACTGACCCTTTGCTGCAGCATGGAAATCCATGGGTACCTGGCAGGGGAAAGGAGGTGAGGGCAGGGAGCTGCAGGGTAGAGGACAGTCCCGGAGGGATTCCAGAGCCAGCCACCTCCTCCTGCCCTTCTTTTTCTCTGTTCCCAGCTGCATTCCCTCACCCACCTGCCCCGCCCTCCTTGTTCCCTATCCCTAGCCGGTAGCCATTCCTATCCTCCAGTCCTGCTCTCTCCACTGTCTGTGCCTTGCCTCCTCGGAGGCTCCCTGTTCCATCTCCTTCCCCCCAAACTGTGACTGCTAACAGTACCCCGACCATGACGGGGCGCTTCCATAGCCTGGGCACTTTACCTGCTTTATCTCATGGATTCAACACAAAAAATTAGGACAGGTCCATTTGCCCAAGGCCCCCCAGCTGATCATAGCTGAAGTGGTGACTTGAATGCGGTTTTGACTCAGGAAACTCTTAACTCCCTGGCCCCCGGCTACTCCCAGGAGCCTGTAACTGCATGGAGTCCCCATCACGCCCCACGCGAACCTTCCCCATCTCCCCATTCCTGCTCTTCTGCTGGCTTCCTTTACTCTCTCTGGATCATCCATCACTGACTCCAGGCCAAGTCCTCCACCCGGGGTGTGTGATCTGAGGTGGTGCTAGCACCTAGCCGACGATTTAGGAGCTCAGATCCCCCTCTGCAGGGGAGACTGACTCCTTGGGAATGCCCCCAACCCCACACCCTTCCCTGGAAGCTTGTATCTTTTACTGCAGAATCTGTTTCTTCACCCTGTGGGGGTGGGAAGCACCAGGCTGCCCTGTTCTCTGCTACCCAGGACCATGCGTAGGGGTTGATGGTGGGGCCATCATGACGACCCTGCCATCATGCAAGGTGGGTCCCATCAGCCTGGGGTGTGGCAGGAAGTGGCTCTGACCGGGAAGAATCGCTCCCAGGAAGCAACTGGAAGGATGAGAATGTACTGCAGTCTCTTCCTAGAGATGTAGCGGCTGGAGGGAGGGGTCCTTGCATGGCTGGTCCTGGGATTGGGACCATCTGCTTTAGCCTGGTCTTGGGGGATGTATCCCCCAACCCTCCACCTCCTTGATCACTACGCTTCCCTGGCTTCCTCATGTGTCTCTCTTCTCCCTCTCCAACTCCCCCTGCCCCAGGTCCTGCTGTTCGCCAGGCTTCTGACCTCAGGGCCTTTGCTCCCTTTACAAAATTTCACTGGGCAGTTTAATCAACACCCACAGCCTCAACCCCTCCATAAATGGCAGCTGGGTATGGACAGGAGAAGAAATTACTGTTGTGTGAGCCTCTTAATAGCACTGGGGCTGGGAGAAAAAGTCAGATGTTGACTCAGCTTGAGATCTCTGTGCCTGACTTGAGAATGTTCTATTAGGGATTCAAATAATATTCTGCAGTATATGAAATAATTGAAAAAAAAATTTTTTTTTTGAGACGGGAGTCTCGCTCTGACCTCCAGGCTGGAGTGCAGTGGCGCGATCTCGGCTCACTGCAAGCTCCGCCTCCTGGGTTCACGCCATTCTCCCGCCTCAGCCTCCAGAGTAGCTGGGGCTGCAGGCGCCCGCCACAACGCCCGGCTAATTTTTTTTTGTATTTTTAGTAGAGATGGGGTTTCACCGTGTTAGCCAGGATGGTCTCGATCTCCTGACCTTGTGATCCGCCTGCCTCAGCCTCCCAAAGTGCTGGGATTACAGGCGTAAGCCACCGCGCCCGGCCCTTTTTTTTTTTTTTTTTTTTGAGAGGGAGTCTCGCTCTGTTCAGCCCAGGCTGGAGTACAGTGGCCGGATCTCAGCTCACTGCAAGCTCCGCCTCCTGGGTTTACGCCATTCTCCTGCCTCAGCCTCCCGAGTAGCTTGGACTACAGGCGCCCGCCACCTCACCCGGCTAGTTTTTTTGTATTTTTTAGTAGAGATGGGATTTCACTGTGTTAGCCAAGATGGTCTCGATCTCCTGACCTCGTGATCTGCCTGTCTCGGCCTCCCAAAGTGCTGGGATTACAGGCTTGAGCCACCGCACCTGGCCCCGGCTCACTCTTTGTATTTTTAGTAGAGATGGGGTTTCACCATTTTGGCCAGGCGGTCTCAAACTCCTGGCCTCAAATGATCTGCCTGCCTCGGCCTCCTAAAGTGCTGGGATTACAGGCATGAGCCACTGTGCCTGGCCGAAAGAATTTCTATTTCCAGTGGTTTGTTGCTAGCACACAGAAATAGATCCATCTTTTGTATCCTGCAACCATACTAAAATCTCATGTGTTCTCATAGCTTTTTTTCCTTTTAGATTCTATCGGATTTTCTACATAGACAATAATGTGTGTGAGTCAGGACACTTTTACTTCTTCCTTTCCAATCTTGTTCCTCTTATTTCATTTTCTTGCCTAATTGCACTGGGGACAATCTCCATACAATGTTGAGTAGGAGTGTGTGTGTACGTCCTCGCTTCGTTCTGAGCTTAGGGAAAAGTGTTTAGCCTTTCATCATTAAGGATGATGCTAGCTGTAGGTTTCTTCATGATGCCTTTTATTAGCTTGGGCATCTTCATGAAGTTTCCTCTCCTAGTTTGCTTAGTTTTAATTAGGAATGGATGCTGGATTTTGCCTAATGCTTTTTCTGCATTTATTGAGAATTTTGCCTAATGCTTTTTCTGCATTTATTGAGATGATCATATGGTTTTTCTTTAATATTATATATGTATACATAACATACATTATAATACATTAACATATGAGTAATGTTATATTATTTGGGTGATAATTCTTTTATATTTTTATATTCTGCTTATGGTAAAATACATTTTTTTTTTTTTTTTTGAGACGGAGTCTCGCTCTGTCCCCCAGGCTGGAGTGCAGTGGCTGGATCTCAGCTCACTGCAAGCTCCGCCTCCCGGGTTTACGCCATTCTCCTGCCTCAGCCTCCCGAGTAGCTGGGACTACAGGCGCCCGCCACCTCACCCGGCTAGTTTTTGTATTTTTTTAGTAGACACGGGGTTTCACCGGGTTAGCCAGGATGGTCTCGATCTCCTGACCTCGTGATCCGCCTGTCTCGGCCTCCCAAAGTGCTGGGATTACAGGCTTGAGCCACCGCGCCGGGCCACATCGATTTTTTTTGAGACAGGGTCTCACTCTGTTACCCAGGCTGGAGTTCAGTGGCACAGTTATGGCAATCTCAACCTCCCTGTCTCAAGTGATCCTCCCACCTCACCTCGGGAGTAGCTGGGACTACAGGTGTTCACCAACATATCCAGCTAATTTTTGTATTTTTTGTAGAGATAGGTCTTGTTATATTGCCCAGGCTGGTCTTGAACTCCTGGGCTCAAGCTATCCACCTGCGTTGGCTTCCCAAAGTGCTAGATTATTGGTGTGAGCCACCGTGCCCAGCTATAAATTGATTTTTTTAAATGTTAAATCAGCCTTGCATTACTGGGATAAACCTCATTTGGTCATGACGTATTACCCTTTTAATATGTTGTTGAATCTGATTGGCTTTTTTTCAGCATTTTCACATGCATATCCATGAGGGATATTGGTGTATAATTTTCTTTTCTTTATAATGTCTTTGTTAGGTTTTTATAGGGAGGATGGCTTGAGCCCGGGAGGCAGAGGTTGCAGTCAGCCGAGATGGTGCCATTGCAGTCCAGCCTGGGCGACAAAGCAAGACTCTGTCTCAACAACAACAACAACAACAACAACAACAACAAAAAACCAAAAAAAAGAGATGAGGACTCACTATGTTGCCCAGGCTGGTCTCAAACTCCTGAGCTCAAGCAATCTTCCCACCTTGGCCTCCCAAAGTGTTGGTATTACAGGCATGAGCCACCGTGCCTGGCCTAATTTCTTACCTCAAATTCACACCCTGTATGTCCAGACTCTTAAGTGTGGCCACCACGGCTCTGCCTGTCTGACTCCTGTCTCCCTTTCTAGTCTGTCATCTCTCCATATCCCACACTCCTCGCCCCATTCATCCTTCATCCTTTCACCCAAATGAGAAACCTGGGTCATTTGTGACTCCTCCTCACTCCGAAGCTCCTGCCCTCCTACCCCTGATGCTCTCCTTATCTCCCAGTACCAGAGCCAACACAAACCCACGTCTTCCTACCCTTTGGCACTTGGTGCTAAGTGCTTTGCACATTCAATCTTCATACCTACCCTATGCCCAGTTGGCCACAGCTCTCCTCTCACAGATGAGGAAACGTGTATGAGGTCATGCAGCTATTAAGAGCAGCACACGACCCAAAGGCAGGTCTGGCTGACTCCAGACTCTGGGATGCTACTCACTGCACTGTCTTAAATCTCTTTAGTCCTCCAGTGGGACCACTGCAACCATGTCCCCCTCCAACCTGGATTTTCAATGACCCCAGAGTGAGCCTGCTACATTTCACTTGCCTCTGGTCACCCCCAAACTCCATGTGGCCTCTTGATCTGATCTCTACCTTCATTTTTCATCTCTTGGCATCCATCTTCCTGTTCCTCACCCTAAGCCAAAGCTACCCCCAGAGTACAGCAGGCTCTTCTGCACCCAATGCCTTTGCAAATGCTATTTCTCATACCTGGAAAGTCTTCTTCTGGCAAAGTCCTACTCATGCCTGAAAGCCCAATTCAAATAATCAGTGTAATCCTCTCCATGACAGACCTGGCTGTCCAATCTACGTTTTTCCTTACAGGCGTGAGCCACTGCACCCAACCTCTGGTTAATTTTTTTTTTTTTTGACAGGGTCTTGCTCTGTGGCCCAGGCTGGAGTGGCGCCATCATAGCTCACTGCAACTCCTGGGCTCCAGTGAGCCTCCCAAGTAGCTGGGACTACAGGCTCATGCCACCACACCTGTCTAATTTTAAACATTTCCTGTAGAGGACAAAGTCTCGCTATGTTGCCTAGGCTGGTCTTGAACTCCTGGCCTTATGTGATCCTCTCACGTCTGCCTCCCAAAGTGTTGGGATTGCAGGCGTTGAGCCATCATGCCCACCTAATTTTTGATCATTTTTAATGCTGGCCCATGCCCTTCTGGGAGAGAGGATCCCCAAACGAAAGCCACCATTTCAGTGGGGGATCTGACGCTCCTATGGGAAGGGGAGACCTGGGGCACTAGGGGCAAACATCTTTGCTCATTGGTTCAGAGAAGAGTACAAGACACCAAGGAGGCGCTCAATGAAAATCTGCTCAAGACTGCCGCTCCTCCCTGCAAAGCCTCAAGCGTCAAGCAGGGACAACTGGATGTGATTTTTTGGATCTGCAGTTCAGGATAATTCATGAGTCGTTTCCTGTGCACAAGGCCATTGCTCCTTCTGTGGTCTCAGAACCCCTTCAAGAACCACTGACGCTGCAGGCCCTACCACAAGGCGCGCATGCGTGTCCGTGCGCGCACGCGGATGTGCACCACGGAGGGGCTGAGGCTGGGGGCCATAGTCAGGGGCACCGGGTGGGCTTTGGCGGGGGATCGACCTGCCTTTCAGGTGCCGGGGGTTTGGGAGCAGGGGAACGGGCGCCGGGCCGATTCCTGACCGCTTCCTCCGCGCCCCGCCCACACTCACTGTCGCTTTCCCCGCCCGCCCACCCGAACACCCACCCCCGGGCGCCCGCCCGCTCCCACCTGTCACCCCCATGCAGACCGAGGCTCTGTCCTGGAGGCGGGGAGCGGGCTGGTAGATGCTGCCTCTCAGCCTCCAGTGTGCTCTTTGGCTGGGAGACTGGGGGGCGCTGGAAATATTGGAGGCGCTGGTGCCTGTGATGTAGCCGCCTCTGTGACGTCCCTGCCGCGACCCCGCAGGCAGGGAGCCGCATTTAGGTTCCGGGCGGGCGGGCGAGCAGGCGGGGGACGGCCCGAGTGAGGTGTCCTCCGAAGGCTGCGGGCCCGAAGCCAGAACCCCTCTCCAAAGACCTCGGGAGTAGGGCTCGCGCTTCCGCTGCGGGCCCAGAGCAAGAGGCAGGCGGCAGGTAAGTTTGACTCTACTGGACCGGACTCGCACCCGCTCTGCACGCCAGGGGCTCAGGGCTGCCGCCCCTTTCGTGGTCCCAGGGCCCTTCCAAGAACCGGCTAAACCAACCCAAGCTGCGCGCACACACACTTGTGCACACACGGAGTGTGGAGCCAGATTCGATAAGGCATCACGTGTGCCCCAGCTCCATGACCAAGGAACTCAGCCACAAGGGCATCCCTGGCCCCATGCAGGGCTCAGGAGGCAGCGGAAAGGGTTGAGTCCAGGCCTCAAGGACAGGAGGGGAAGGTGGAGGGCCTGTGGTGTGCATCCAGCATCCCTACGTGGTCAGGGCCCAGAACCCATCCCTATTTCCCTTCTGGTGGTAGAGGGCTGCCTGACTTGGGCAGTGGCACAAAGCATGCAGGCTTTGTTGTCTGCCTCCTCCACCCTTCAGCCTGGCAGTGTTTGGCAAGGGACGTCCCTGATGCCACTGGGCAAGGCATCTTGTCTAACTGGTCTGAATGAATAGCCCAGAGGTGGGACTAGAAGCACCCACTGGGAGGAATGGTGGGAAAGCAGCCCCACTCAAGGGCTGAAACAGTCCTTGTCCAAAACAAGGGGGACTTGAAAAGATCTCACCAAGAAGGCAGAGAGGCAGTTGTTAGTGTCGTGAGGTTCAGCAAGCCGGCAGGCAAGAGAGAGGACACCAATGGCCTGGAAACATCTGTCATCACCCCAAACTTTATTGCTTACAAAGAGTTCTCTACAACCCACACTGCAGTACCAACGCTGCAGTTCTTTATGTGCTGGGGGCCGGGGCTGTCTCCCCGGGAGCAGTCTGGCTCGCTGTGGACAGCTGGACAAAGGCTGTCCAGCTGTCCACAAGGCAAGACGTGGGGATGAGCTTCTCCCAAGGAGTCTCGGCGTCCCCCGCCCCAGGAGGTTGAGGCTAGCTGACACCCCCCTGACAATTCACAGCTGACTTAATGCTACATGAGTCCTGAGTAGCTCCCCTGGGAGAAGAGGCTAAGCTGGGGCAATGGGGAAGTGGTTGCTATTAGAGAAATCTGGAGGAGGTTTGAGGAGTCACATGCATGTAGACAGCTCAAGACTGTCCCTTCACCCCATCTCCTGGACTGCTATGCTCCTACAGAGTCACTGACCTGCCCTGCCAGAGGGCAGCCATGAAAGTGCTTTGAGGTCATCAGAGTGCAAAGTGCTGTCAGCAGTACCCTCCGGCCCGGGGCAGGGCAGGGTGAGTGTTTGTGTGAGCTGTGCTCTGGGGGGCCCGCACGCTGGACGCTGACAGTGGGGCTGGGGTGCCGGAGCGTCTCTGTCTGCTGCTTTCCTTAGTATTGATCATGTCCATCTACAGACCGTTCCTGTCAGGCACATCCTGCATCACCCTTCACCTTTACAGATGAGGGAAGAGCGCCAGTGAGTCTGGGGCAGTGCTGGGCCTGAAGGGGCTCAGGGTCTGCTGCGCTGGGGAAGAGTGATAGCCAGCAGCAAAGGGGCACGTGTCTGGGGACTGAGAACCACTTCACTTACACACCTTCTTTGGTCGTTGGCTGAACCAGAAGTCAACTCAGGACCTGTGTTACAACAATCTGAAAAGTGTGGTGTATTCTAGCAGGGAGCCTTCTGGGATCAGGCATTCCTTTCCCCTACACCCGAAAGGGATGAGCTGGCCAGGTGAGGCCAGGCAAGGGGGTCAGAGGCCTCCCGTTAACCTACGGGTGGGCATACCTGCTGACCTGGTTCTGCACTGAACCTGAGTGTGGGCCCTTACACACTCGACACCCTCACATCAGCCTGGAGGGTGAGGGGCCGAGGGGCTCGCCCATCCCTTCTGACCCAGGCTGGTAGCTGCTCTCCCCTGTCTGCCAGCAAATGGTCACTGATCCAAGCGGGCCAGGCCAACTCGACTGGAGCAGGGCAGAGAAGATCCTGTTTGTTTCCCGAGGGAACTCCTGCCGTCCTCCTCTGTCTCCTCACGTGGCAGAGTGTTTTCTCAGCAGGGTGGGGCAGGACTCAGGTGGGGAATCCTGGGAGGCGTTCTGCTTGCCCCCACCTTGCTGCTGCCAGGCCCTGGTCCCACTGCTGAGCCGGGGGCTGGCAGATCCCTGGGAGCGGCTGAGCCTGTGTTTCAGGGCAGCATTGTGCGCCGAGCAGGAAGGCTGCTTCCGGCAGCGTGGAGCCGGCAGTGGAGGGTGGGGTTAGGGCCTGTTCTCCAGCTGGCCATGCTTGACCCTCCAGCTCCAGGCGAAGCTGCCATCAGGGGCCAGCATGCACTGCAGGTCGATGCCCGAGTCTGGCACCTCCATGTCATAGCGAACAGGCTGCCCATCTTTGGTCACCAAGCTGAAGGCTGCGGCTGGGATCTAAGGGTGGAGCAAACCAGTGGGCTGAGATCATGGCATGGGGCTCAGAAGCCACGTAGAAAGGTAAAGACATCTCCCTCCAGCCAGACTGGCAGCCCTAAGGGCACTGTCTGTTTGTCATTCCACAGGACTCAGAGAATCCCACCCAGCCCAAGTGTGGGTCTGGAGGACCTCTCCGTCCCCACTGCCAGTCTTACTTTGAGGCCCTGGGGGACGTCGAAGGCCAATTCCACGTATTCCCTAGAGTGCCATTTCTTTGAAAGCCTTCCTCCTGGAGGGTGGGGCCAGGTGCACTGGCTTCTGGGACTCTGCTGGTCAAGAGAGTACCTGCGCCCCTTACCTGGCTGCTGATGCCAGTGGCGATGTCTCCCACTTTGACCCGGTGGAACTCCCGGATGTGCAGGTGTTCACCATTGAGAGACTGTATTTGGACTTTCACACCTAGAAGGCGGGCAAGGTGACAGTCAGGAAAGCGGCTGCTGGCTCTCCAAGGACCAGGGTCCTGGCAGGGGCTGAGGGAATGTTTTTGTTAAAAGTCACTCTGCCCTTAATGTAGAGGGGAGCAGGCCTGGTGTGATGGAGCAGCAGAGATAAAATTTGGGCTGGTCTAAGCACAGCTGCATTTCTGTTTGTTTTTGAGACAGAGTGTCACGGTGTCGCCCTGGCTGTAGTGCAATGGAGCAATCTCAGCTCACTGCAACCTCTATCTCCCGGGTTCAAGTGATTCTCCTGCCTCAGCCTCTCGAGTAGCTGGGATTACAGGCATGTGCCACTACACCCAGCTAATTTTTATATTTTTAGTAAATATGGGGTTACACCATGTTGGTCAGGCTGGTCTCGAATTCCTGACCTCATGTAATCCACCTGCCTTGGCCTCCCTAAGTGCTGGGATTACAGGTGTGAGCCACCACACCCAGTCACAAAGTTGCATTTTATAAGAAAAATAAAAAATTCAGGCTGGAACAGCCCTCGTGTTATATACACCTGCTAGTTCTTCCTGGCTGCCAGCACCTGGGATCTGGCCTGTGCGTTGCTAAGAGCTGGGGTTGGCTCCTATGGGGAAGTAGTATTTCAACTTGGATGCAAAGCAGAAAGGAACTGAACACAAAGATCCTTAAATTAGATTATGGGCAATTTAGATCGTTCCCCGAGTTGAAGTGGCCTCTGGCCTGCTGCCATGAGTCACACTTGCCCTGGAGAGCAGGGCACTCCGATCTGATGATGCCCTTGTTATAGCAAAGCCACATCATAACCTATGCAATCAAGCTTGAAAACGAAGGAATTTTATGTTGTCTTTCTCATTTGACCTCAGATCTCAGAGGGGGCTCCTTTTGCTGAGTTTCTGATTAAAATGCTCATGGGTCCTGTTCCTTTCCCTTTAGAAGAGATTAATTGCTCAGTTTCCTGACTCCAGGTCAAGAGAGACTGCTCTCCTCCCCAAGCTAGGGGAACCTTCTGGGACTCCATCAGCCGCCAATGAGGGGATAATGGTCCCTCACTGCCCAATCAGGAGAGGCTCGTGGGTGATGGGGACCTTTGCTCGAAACCCAACTTACTGGCCAGGAACCTCAAGTTCTGGGACCAGGCGCCTTCCTCCCTCCCATTGTGCCAGGGGAGGGGAGACACAATCCCTCAATGGCTGTCTAGCTCCAGGCAGATCAGCTGCCATGGGGGCTGCTGAGCAGGTGGGAATTGGACTGTACCATTGAAATAGCTTGGGGTGTCGGTGGGCCGCCCCCGGGCCAGCACCATGTTCCAGCTGGAGCTTCGAGCCTCGGCCTGGCTGCTCCAGGAGTGTACGCCTGAGCTCAGGGTGTCCCGCGAGCTTTGAGAGGCCTTTGATGGGTTCTGAAACAACAGGATTGGGTACGGACTCAGGGCCCTGGGCTCCAGGATCCATCTCTGGCTTGGGTCTCATTTGAGGCAAAGGGCCACTGCTCATGCCCTCAGCTGGAGGAGGGTAAGGGTTGCCTCCACGGGGGACCAAGGCCTGCCTCCCCATTATCTCTGGTGGCAAAACACATTCCCTAATCCCAGAAGGGTAGATTCCCATGGTTTCTCTCACTCTGAATCATGACCACCTCCCCCAACCTAGTGAGGACCCCTACCAGAAGGAAGGGGTGACCCCCATCACCCTCCCTTTACCCACTACTTGCAGAGTCCATTCACTAGCTGGACGCAAAGCTATTTGCTCTGTGCCAGGACCGGGAGAACCACACCCCTGGAGCCATGGCTGCAGGGCCACAACTGACTCACCTTCTCGCTGTCATCCGACAGGGAGAGGCTGTCGATGCTGAGGCACGAGAGAATTTGCTCCTGCTCCTCCAGAGAAAATGGCTGGGACAGGCTGTTCAGGAATAATTCTGCAGGGAAAAGTGGAAGAAAATGGCTGTGAAAGATTGGGAGGAGGCTGGCTATGTTTTCAGGGGTTCTTCCTGCACAGTCTGTAGAAGCTGAGCTGCTGGGGAAGGGGCTGGAAGAAAGCCCACACCGCAGGTAAGGAGAAGCGCCGGCCTCCCTCCGCGGCCAGTGCTTGGGGCCCCAGCTGCAGCCATGGTTGCCCGTACCTATTTCCAGCTGCTGCAGTTCCTGCTCCGGGAAGGTTGCTTTCCGCTCTGGTGAGCTGGGGTTTCTGGCAGGGGCTGGCTCCAGGGAAGACAGAGGTAAGGGTTCCCACATCCCAGACTCCTCCTTGCTCAAAGTCAAGGGAGGAGACTTGTTTGGCTCTGGGGGCTCTGGTGGGAGAGGAGGCTGGAGCTTAGGGGCTCTGCCTGTTGTCTCCTCAACTGGCCGAGGCTCTGGGGCCCTTGGCGAAAGCTCCCTCGGCTGGGCATGGAGGGTCTGGTGATAATTGGCTTGATTTGGTGGTGGATGTCTTGGTTCTTTATATTCTCCCCTCCAAGGGCTCTTCAGACCTCCCACTAGAAAACAGAGAGGACAATGGTGAGGGGAAGCGTGCTGTGCACAGGCTATCCAGGCAGGAGCGGCCTCTCCTGAGTGCAGAAGGGCTAGAGGCGAACAGAGGGGAGGACCTGCCCCAGGCCACCATGGGAGGTGACTTCAGAGGGCAGCGTGGTGGTCTCCACAGGAGACTTCCTCAGTAAGATGGTCCCAATATAACAGGGATAGGACTGGATTTCTGTCTTTAGTTCCGTTTGCCTTCTAGGTGTCAGTAGCAAATTGAAAAACTACAGAATCAGTTCCAGAGGACTTTGTTAACAAGAAAGAGAAGATTGAAAAAAGCCCTGGGGCTACACCAACTCAAGAGCTCCTAGGCAAAGTGGCGTCCTGGACCTACCATCTCTCCTACCCTGTCCTCAGTCAGTACTTCCCCAGGCACCGTTGGTTCTGGTGCGGGGCAAGTTCAACCCTGGGACCACCCTCATCCTTATAACTACCAGCTGTCTTTGGTGAGGTGCAAGATCTCTCTGGTTTTATTTCATTTTCATTCCTATAATCACGGCCTTTTTGTGCCCATCCCTCAGGTGACGTTCTATTGTGTTTGATGTATCATTTTTGATTGGGTTGTGTTCTTGCAAAATGTGTGTCGTTTTATTTATCGATTTTTATTTTTGTATTTTTTGTTTTTTAAAGAGACGAGGTCTCACCATGTTGCCCAGGCTGGACTCCAACTCCTGGGCTCAAGCGATCCTTCCACCTCAGCCTCCTGAGTGGCTGGGACTACAGACGTGCGCCACCATACCTGGCTATTGATCAGTTTTTAGTTTACCAAACATTACCATCTGGGTTGCATTCTGTGTCGGGTTCTCTTTTCACTCGGCACCATGGCTTTAGGATCCGTCCATGCTGCTCTGTGAACACCGAGTTGCTTTAACTGCTTGGTGCTCCATGCGGCATCCTTTTTTGTGTCTCTGTCCTCCCAATGAGGGACCCCACTGTACCCTACTCCCCTCCCACAAAGGAAGCTGTAGCGCGCATCCTCAGGCGTGTTCCCATATGGATCTGTTGGCATTCCTTTGTCAGTGCACCCAGGGGTAGCGGTCCTGGGTCTCAGTCTGCAGACATCTGCCTGAGTGCAGCCAGGCGCTCTCCAGAGTGGGCAGCCTTGTCCACATGCCCATCAGCAGCACCCGAGGGGTCCCAACAGCCCCACATCCCACCAACTTTCTGCTTTTTTCCAGTCAAATGGCTCTCGAGTGTTACCTGGCTTCATTTATTTATTTTTTGAGTCAGGGTCTCTGCTGCCCAGGCTGGAGTGCAGTGGTACAATCGTGGCTCACTGTAGCCTCGACCTCCCAGGCTCAAACAATCCTCCCACCTCCTGAGTAGCTGGGACTACAGGCACATGCCACCATGTCTGGTTAATTTTTAAATTTTTTTTGCAGAGAAAGGGTCTTGCTATGTTGCTCAGGCTGATCTTGAACTCCTGGCCTCAAGTGATCCTCCTGCCCCAGCCTCCCAAAGTGCTGGGATTACAGGTGTGTGCCACTGCTCCCGGCCTCTCTTTATTTTGTATTCTTGGATTCCTAGCGAGTTTCAGCCCCCTTTACACATCATAACCCTTGTGATATTAGTAAACATATATTTCATCTTTAACCCCATTTCTGGCACATAACTCCTAAAAGCCTTCCTCTCCAAAGTGATCTCTTTCTATGTACTAATGGATTGACTGAAGGCTGGCAGCCCCTAGGTAGCTTCAGGATGGAGGCTGGTCATCCGAGAGACACAGGCAGGATTAGAGGGCTGGGACTTTCATCCTACCATCCCACATACTGGGAGGGAAGGGGGCTAAAGGTTAAGCTGTTCGCCAATGGCCAATGGTTTCATCAGTCATGACTTTGTAATGAAGCCTCCACAAAAACCCAAGAAGACAGGGTTCAGAGAGCTTCTGGTAGCTGGGCACGTGGAGGTTCCTGGAGGGTGCCAAGCCCTAGAAGCTCCGCGCTCCCTCCCACATGCCTTGCCCTATGCATCTCATTTGTATCCTTTGTAATATCCTTTCTAATAAACTGGTAAATGTAAGGTTTCTCTGAGTTCTGTGAGCCACTCCAGCAAATTAATCGATCCCAAGGAGGGGGTCGTGGGGTCCCTGACTTATAGCCAGTTGGTCAGAAGCACAGGTAAACACATGGGCCTGAGACTGGCATGGGTAGGGGGCACAGTCTTGGGGATCAAGCCTTCCTGTTGCGGGCTCTGACGCTGCCTCCAGGTAGATAGTGTTAGAACAGAACTGAATTAGAGGACACCCAGCTCGTGTCTGCTGCGAACTGATTGCTGGCTTGGTGGGGTGGAAATCCCCACACATGTGGTCACAGGAGTCTTCGGGTTGATTGTAGTTGAGTGGGAGAATGGAAAAAGCACTTCGAGTTTGTATGTGAATTTTCTCTTTCCCATCTCCTGAGCGCTGCCTCTGCGTCAAGGCGTGGTACTGCCACAATCTCCCAACAACCCCGAGGCTGCTGCACCCCCTACTCCAGAGGGGGAAACTAAGGCTCTGAGGGGTACCTTGCTCTGGACCTGTGGCCACCTGTCTCCTCTGTCCACCTCTGTCCTCTGCCCCCCGGGTCAGCCAGCGCGCAGCTCCTCTTACCTTGCTGTAGTGCCTGGTTCACCTTCCCTGCCAGCTCCGCTGCAGACGCGCGGTGGACGGGCTCTTTCTTCAGCCCCTCTTGGATGGCCTGGGCTGTGAGAGGGGCACAGGAGGCTGGGATCTCCCTCACAGGCGGAGGCTCGCTGGCAATCTGGGGCACAAAAGACAACAGGTGAGGCCTGCCTTCCCTCATTTCCTGATACCCGGCTGTTACTGCTCTCTGTGCAACTCCCGCCGGCCCCTGCTGCCACTGTGCTGGGGTCTATCACAAGGAATGGAGGGGTCTGGGCTACAGTGAGGGCACTTTTCCCAGGACAGGGACACATGGAGCCCGTAAAACAGGCCAGAGCCAGGCAGCAAGATGCCCAGAGCTTCCAGGCCCGGCCCGTTAGGAGGCAGGTGGATGGGGCCCAGGGTATGGACAGAAGAGAGTTCTCACCTGCCATGAACTTGGTGAGCCTCCGCAGCTGGATCTCCCTTTGTACCCCCAGATTTGGGTGGCAAGTATTTGAATTAGGATCCCACATGGATGACCAGGCCTCCCCTTGCTCCAACTGCCACCGCAGAGCAGCCCCTCAAGCCTGCGGCCCGGGCCCCAGGGCCCTGCAGCTCCCCATGTTGGCCATGCCGGGTGCCGTCACCGACCTTGAGGCAGAGCGGCCCTCGGAAGAACTGAGTCCAGGGGTGGCAGCCGTTGAGCATGTGCAGCATCATGCAGCAGCTGCTCCAGACGTCCACCTTGGCGTCGCAGCGCCTGCCCAACACCACCTCCGGAGCCATGTGGGTCTCTGTGCCAGGGATGTAGTCCCCTGAGAAGGCGGATAAGACATAAAGTCACCTGGAATGCTGATGGGCAGGAGCCTAGGCAATGGTCACCCCAGTTAATCCTCGGGGTATCTTAAATTTGTCACTGTTAAAGTACGTTTTATTTTATTATCTTTTTCGTTCTTTGAGACAGAGTCTCGCTCTGTCAACCCAGGCTGGAGTACGGTGGTGCGATCTTGGCTCACTGCAACCTCCGCTTCCTGGGTTCAAGCGATTCTCCTGCCTCAGCCTCCTGAGTAGCTGGAATTACAGGCATGAGCCACCACGCCCAGCTAATTTTTATATTTTTAGTAGAGATGGGGTTTCACCATGCTGGCTAGGCTGGTTTCAAACTCCTGATCTCAGGTGAGCCACCCACTTCGGCCTCCCAAAGTGCTGAGATTACAGGCATGAGCCACTGTATCCGGCCATGTTAAAGTACTTTAAATACAGAAATAACATCTCCAAGTCAAACTTGTAGGGAGGAGCTAGGCGGGGACTCTGCTGGGAACTTGTACCAAGCAACAGAGCACCCATGATATGGACTCTGCCCTTTGGACCAAACCCTTAAAGTGTTTTTTGAAAATAGGGCAGGGGCTGGATATTACAAATTAGGTTGTAGAAGGTTAATTACTGGTATGATGTTCCTGAAATACCAGTAAGTGAAATTTAAAAATCATAATAGAAAACTTATTTGCATAAAAGACTGAAAGAATAGATGGCAGATGTGAACAGTGGTTTTTTTTCCTGGTGATCTGTATTTGTAATTTTTGCTTAGCTCTACTTTCTTCAAAAGATATTAGAAAAAAGGGTCAGGCAGTGGCTCATGCCTGTAATCCCAGCACTTTGGGAGACTGAGGTGGGAGGACAGCTTAAATCCAGGAATTTGAGACCAGCCCGGGCAACATACTGAGACCCCATGTATAGCTACAAAAAATTAAAAAAATGAGCCAGACATGGTGGTGCATGCCTGTGGTCCCAGCTACTCATACTCAGGAAGCTGAGGCAGCAGGATCACTCGAGCCAAGGAGCTTGAGGCTGCAGTGAGCTATGAGTGAGCTATTGCACTCCAGCCTGGGTGACAGAGCAAGACTCTGTCTCTAAAAAATAAAAGTTAAAAAAAATTAGAAAAGATACATTTTTTTTTTTGTAACAAGAAAAAGCCCACTAAAGTTATTTTAAAAGAGCTTAAGACAACACGGGTGGAGGTCAAGTGTCCACATTCAATTTACATGTTCAGAATTGTCAACACAGTCCTTCAACAACACACAATCATATACTTCCCAAAGATTCTTTTTCTGTTGGTCAGAATGAAATCATTTTATCCTTAATGCTATAAATGAAAAAAGCAGGGCACAAAATTGTGTTATAATGGCGCTAACTAGACACAGGAAAAACAACAGCCTGGAAGGAGTTATCTAAAATATTCATGATTCGGTCAGGCGCAGAGGCTCACGCCTGTAATCCCAGCACTTTGGGAGGCTGAGTGGGGCAGATCACCTGAGGTCTGGAGTTTGACACTGGCCTGGCCAACATGGCAAAACCCCGTCTCTACTAAAAATACAAAAATTAGCTGGGCATGGTGGCAGGTGCCTATAATCCCAGCTACTCAGGAGGCTGAGGAAGGAGAATTGCTTGAACCCAGGAGGCGGAGGTTGTAGTGAGCCGAGATTGTGCCACTGCACTCCAGCCTGGGTGACAGAGTGAAACTCCGTCTTAACGAAAACAACAAAAAAATTTGTGATTCTCTCTCTGGGTAAGAGGAATGGTGAGAATTCTGTTCTCCACCTCTTTTATATGCTTAACTCTATACTTCACAGTGGGCATGGATTATTTCAATAATCAGAGGAGTTAAAGAAAGATATTTCACTGGCTTTAGAGACCAGGCCCCTTGGTCAGCCTGCCCACTGTGCTTCCAGCCAACTGTGCTCAGAGGCGCAGGAGAGCTGGGGTCACAGGCTGGCAGTGCGCTCCCCTAAAAAGGCCAGACAAGAGGCGGGGGGAGCCATGGGGCCTCCAAGGCAGAAGGCCTGGGACCTAGCGAGAGTCAACAGCCTTTCCCTCTCTTCCCTGCGTACAGGAGCATCAGCGATGAGCACCTGACATCCATGATCGCATTTCCGCCTAACAAAGAAACCCCGATAATCATCCAGACTGGGTGCGGGGCTTAAACACACAGGTGGACCTAAGTGTTCACATCTCAATTCCCATTCTGGAAAGCATGGAAGGCATTCGGCGAATGAATGCACTGGGGGGCACAGCAGTTGGTGGGGGGCCTTACCTGTGAGCAAGGACTTCCCCAGGCCATCAGGTTGAAGACACACAGCATGGCCAAAGTCGCAGAGGGCTGCATGGCTCCCATCGCTGGACAGGAGCACGTTGTCCGCTGCCAGGCCGCCCGGGGAGGAAGAGGAACAGGTGAGTCATGCCGGGTCCCAGCCCACCCTGGCTTGGTTTGGCCTGCCCTCCAGTGATGTAATTTTCTGGCTGACCCTACGTGGCAGCTGCTGCTTCTGATTAGTTTCATCAGTTGTGGAGGAAGGGAGGAGGGTATCAGTTCAGGCTAGAGGCAGACAGGATCTCTGAGGGCAAGGGGACAGGAGCAGGGTTTACTCTGGGGGAACGCTGCCACTCTGCTCGCCTGCCCCAACCCTGTACCAGGGGTCACCACTGGATGGGAGCTTGACCTTCGGTTCTCTGTTGCCACCATCTACCAGAAACTATAGTGCTTGGCTAAGGGGTTGGAGAACATCATTCCCCTTCCTACAGGCAGAGTCCTGTCAGCCTGACTCAGGGCCTGCTACTGGAGATGACCAGGCTAGCCCAGAACTGAGAGGAGATCAGGCAGGATGGTGTGAGAGAAGAGCCTGCTGGGGACCAGGGCCGTGGGGCCTGGGCCTTACCTTTGACGTCCCCATGCAGAATCCTTCGTGAGTGGAGGTATTCCAGCCCCTCCAGGGCCTGGCCCAGGTAGTAGAGGGCCCGGTCCTCTGGGAGACAGCCCTGCTCCTTAACCAGCTGGCCCAGGGAGCCACCTAGGAGAACAAAGGCCAGGCTATACCTGGGACTTGCTCGAGCCTCCATGCCAGCCAAGGGCAAGAGCACAGGGCAGGTGGTGGAAAGCAGGGTCATAGGGTCAAGAGGTTAAAGGTGGAAAGCAGGTCACTGGTCCAATGGATGGATCAGTGACCAAGGCCAACTTGGGCAAGACTCAGGAGGGAACCCTTGGCACTGAATTTGGAGAAAGAGTGGGACCTGGCTCCTTACCTTCCAGCAGCTCCATGAAGATGTTGACCCAAGGCCCTTCCCTCACAGCTCCATACAAAGGGACAATTCTGGGTGAGGTCAATCCTGCACATGCCATCAGTTCCTCCGCCCGAAATACTTCCAGCCGCACCTGCAAGGGCCCAGAGGCAGCTGTGAGACAGGAAGAGGGGACCAGAGCTGAGTCCCTGACATCTTGTCAGGACCCCGGTGCTCCACACACAGAGGCTGCTGTTTCCAGTGGCTATGCAGGGGCCCGGGGGGCCTGCTGGACCCTCAGAGCCTAAATATCCCGTGCCCTTGGTATCAGGAGCAACTTCCTGAACTTAATTAAAGTTCTGGAGTGCTGCCCATGTACAAAAAC